CGCGCGCGCGCGCGCGCGCGCGCGCGCGCGCGCGCGCGACCCCGCGCGAGAGAGAGAGAGAAAAAAAAAAAAAGAAAACACATATATATATTTTTTTATTTTTTTTTTTTTTTTTTTTTTTTATATATATATATATATCTCTCTCTCTCTCTCTTATATTTTTATATATATATATATATATATATATATATATATATATATATATATATATATATATATATATATATATTATACAATAATGTAGAGAGAGTGTGTTGCTAAAATTGATATAAAAATGTATATTATTAATAAAAATACAACATCAAATACATGTCATCTAGAAAATGACTCTCTTCTCTCTCTGCTGTGCGGTGTGAAAAAAAAGGGTAGAAGCGTTGACTAAGTGTTGCCAAAACCAGAACACAAGAACGTGTCAGTAATAAATCTGAAAAAGTGCAAAAGATTTATATTCTGAGAAAAAACTAAATATCCTGACAAACACACCTGCCTACTTTAACAACTCTATAAACCTTTTCACCATAAAATCTACGAGCCAACCCCTAAAAAAAAAAGTCCAGAGATGTTTAAAACGAGTGGATATGGCAACACTGGAAAAGGCGTGCTGTGTTAAACAGACTGTCGAGCAAAAACAAAACATGACACCTCTGTTGATGCTGATTTGATGATAATCGCTGAGTATAATGAATCTCTGATCACTGCAATTTTATTTAGACAAAACTCAAAACAACAATTCTCTTCCAAATCCAAACTTCTGAGTCCTTTGTTTGGAGCTAGAGTTTGCTCTGTGGTAGCAAAATCCTTTGGCAGCTGCAATTGTCTGATTGGTGGGTTTGGTGTATGGCATCCTGGGTAATGTAGTTTTCTAATTCAGCTTTTAAACAATGGTATTAAAACTAGGTGAATAAAAGCAACCTCATAGCTCAAAACAGGTCTGTTATGGTATGGTTTATTGGTATGTAATAAGGTTGTTTTGCAATAAGGTTGTAATAATTAATTTACCAACACAAATAAACAATGAACAATACATTTATTACAATATTTGTTCAGGGTTTTTTTTTAAACTATTTTAAAGAAAATACAGTTGTTAGTTCATATTAACTAACTAATTTTATCAAGCATGTATTTGAGTGTTAATAATGCATTAGTAAATGTTGCACTATGATTAATAAATGCTGTACAAGTATTGTTTATAATTAGATCATGTTAGTTAATATATTAGCTACTGAAACCATTCACTACCTGACAAAAGTCTTGCTGTCGATCCCAGTTGTAAGAACAGCAAATAACTTGACTTCTAGTTGATCAAAAGTGGCCGAGGGTAGATTTTTCTGATGAATCCTCTGTTAAGCTGCATCCCAATCATTACAAAAACTGCAGAAGACCCACTGGAACCCGCATGGACCCAAGTTCTCTCAGAAATCAGTCAAGTTTGGTGATGGAAAAATCATGGTTTGAAGTTACATTTCAGTATAGGGGCGTGTGAGTGTGGATGGCAACATCAACAGCATGAAGTATCAGCATTTGTGCTGGGAAAGAGCAAATTCTTCAGCAGGATACCGCTCCTCCTCATGCTTCAGCCTCCTCATTAAAGATCCTAAAAGCAAAGAAGATCAAGGTGCTCCAGGATTGGCCAGCCCAGTGACCAGATATGAACATTATTGAGCCTGTCTGGGGTAAGATGAAGGAGGCATTGAAGATGAATCCAAAGAATCTTGATGAACTCTGGGAGTCCTGCAGGAACCCTTATTTTGCTATTCCAGATGACTTTATTAATACAGTAACTCAGTGGTTCTCAAACTGTGGTATGTGTACCACTAGTGGTACGCAGGCTTTCTTCTAGTGGTACGCAGAGGAATGAAATATGTCAATTACATGCCACACACATTTCACAATTTATCAAAAATGATGTATATAATATGCCACATATGACATATAGCCTATATTTCTGAGCTAATCTGCCACGTTTTTTTTAACTGTGCAGAGTTGTAGCTGCTTTACTGGGCCTTCTACGTATTTCAATACTGCTCATTTTTGGTGGTACTTGGAGAGACAATTTTTTTCTGAGGTGGTACTTGATGAAAAAAGTTTGATAACCACTGCAGTAAGTGATTTGAGTCATTGCAGAGATGTACGGGTGCAGTCCTCCAAGCTCATGGGAGTCAAACACAATATTCATTCCTTTTCAAATGCACTATGGCTTTATATTCCAGACTGTACATTATTTCTGTTAAGTGACAATTCAAGACTTTTGTCTAAGCAAAGTCAGACCTTACTGTCCTAATTAAATAATTAAAAATCAAGGCAAGATCATATTTAATTTTGGTAAAATCAGTGTAATCTAGAGGCCTTTTGCCTTTCATATAAGCCACTTCTGATACCAAATGATCAACTAGAAGTCAAGTTGTTATTTGTTGTTCCTAAAACTTGGATAGGGACAAGACTTTTGTCAGGTAGTGAATGGTTTATGGGTTAATATCAAATATCAAGCAAATCAAAATAAATACTAGTGCATAGTGTCCCAAAAAAAACGTGTTTTCATTTTTAAAACCAAATATGAAATGCTGCGTTTAACAAAAGCAACCTCAGCACTCAAAACAGGGCAGTTTTACATCAGGTTTATGACTTATTATCGAAAATCAAGCCAATCAAAAATGAGGAGCTGTTTGTGCTCATGCGCAAACTCCTAAAACCTAAAATAAATTCCATTGCCTAGTAGTATGGTATCATGACATGAACACATGCAAGCAAAGTCCGTCAAACACGCAAATCCACATTTTGGATGCCATGTGGGACACGACCACTGTTAAGACGCTGTTCGTGATATGCTACGATTGTGTTTATTTGAAAAGCATAAGGCGGCGTTCCTGAAGCTTTGCATCAGCTGCGACTCTTACCACGCAGCCAGCCGTATCTTCCAGAACAGCTCTTTTTCCAAGCTCTCTGATTATTTTCCAACACTTTTTCATGGTCAAACACAAAAGGAACTTTGACGTGTGCTGGATTTGGTACCAATATGGAGTCGCCTGCGAGCGTGTGTTTATTTTGAAGGCCGGCGTGTTCTGATTCAGGTGCTGCACTGAGCCGTCTGGATTTTTCTAGCCTGTATTTGTTCACGGCCTGCCAATTAAGCCCTAAAGAGCGTTCTACCCCACTGAATCCAAATACGCCGAGCGCGCTTGTTTTGGCGTGGGCTGTAAATGGACGGCAGGCCTGTTATGAGGATCCTTCGGTGAAGGGTGACGTGTCACGAGTCGCCGGCCAGGCTGTTGTAGCAAAGGTGATTTATCACACACTTCACACTTTTACACCGACAACCTGGACGACTATTATGGGGTTTTTGTTAACAGGTGCTAACAGGAGTTTGGTTTCGACAGTGAAAGTAGCTATAATTCAGTATTATTGGGTTGCTCAGATCCGTTTTTTTTTTTTTTTAATGTCCTTTGTTATACATTATTAACGTGTTATTATCATACGTTCTCTTATTCATTTTCTTTTCGACTCAGTCCCTTTATTAATCAGGGGCCGCCACAGCGGAATGAACCACCAACTTATCCAGCATATGTTTTACGCAGTGGAAGGATGCCTTTCCAGCAGCAACCCAACACTGGAAAAGACCCATACACCCTTGAATTCACACTCATACACTATGGACAATTTAGTTTATTCCATTCACTTGTACCGCATGTCTTTGGACTGTGGGGGAAATGATGAGTTTATTGATGACAATTTGCATTTGTAAATTCTGTTGGGTTTTAGGGATGCATGCGTCACTATATGGGGCATAAGAATAGTGTGTTTGGATATAACTCAGTTTTTTGACCATACTTTGTTTTATTGTTATTGTTATTATTATTGTTATATTGTATTATTGGTCATTTATTTGTTTGCTGGAACTGAACTGAATTTAGAAATAGTTTTGAAACAAATCTTTGCGCTTAAGAAACAAAATTAAATAGGTAGGCTGATGGATGTCTTCAGTGGAGTGAGTACAACACCGTTTCCTTATCCATGAAAGTTAAGGAGTTAAGTAAAGAGTAAAAGTAAAGAGAACGTAAAGAGGCCGAATGGAGGAGGCTTATTCTTTATCCTCTCGCTGCAGATGGTCTGTTTAACTGCTTTTTCACTACTAGACTTTCTCTCAAAGTGTGCCATGTAAATATAGCAAATGCACCATGTCATGACGTAACTGACTCTTAAAAGCAATGGGAGAAGAGACTCTGATTGTTTTAATGCACATTATGCTGAAAACACACCTATAACTCATTAAAATAATAAGCACAACCCTGTTAGACCATGCACCAGGGCGCAAAGCTTATTTTTCCATGCCTAAAATAGCAAAAGTGGATTCGGACATGCCCTAAATGTGTTTGCCCCATGCACTTTAGACTTTGCGCCTAGATCGTTAAAATAGAGCCCTAAAACTTGGAACGACTTGAGTGAACATGCCCAATACAATGCATTCTTTAACTTGAAAAAAAATTGCTGTCATCTTCTCAAAGCTGTAGTATTTCCTTTTACACAAATCAAGTAAGCCACAAGTGAGTTACTCGAGATGAAAATTCAACTTTGAAATATGCACTGTGCATTCAACTATGACTTATGGCTGTACCATATTTATCCTATAACCGCCATGGTAGTATTTTGAGGTTTAAATGCCACAAAACTGGTATCGTGCAGTGCTAATTGCAGTTTGTCCTTCGACAGAAATAATTGCACATGCAACATGACGCTAACCTATTTTCTCCCGCTGCATGTGTGTGCCAAAGCAATGTGGTTTTCCTTACCTTCTGAAAGAAGTCCTCACCTCCATTGACTGGCCCCTCTGTGGCAGCTGCGGAGAAGAATGGGACATTTCAGAAAAAAAGCTAAACATCAGGAATCACTTATGCTGGCGTATTAACAAAATCAGCAATTCATATCAACACATTCTTCCACATGGCCTGCGCTGGAAAAAATGCCTGTGCAATTTAGGCAGGGCGCGGGTCATTTTCCTGTCCATTTGCTGCAAGTCGCCTCTGTAGAAAAATCAAATGCGTTACTGCTTTATGAAAAGTTTATGCGGAATGGTAATAAAGTTTATGATGCAGAATACTACATTTAGATGCTTTAAGTGAAGTGTATCTTCATAACATACAGTTGAAGTCAGAATTATTAGCCCCCCTGTATATTTTTCCCCCAATTTCTGTTCATCAGAGAGAAGATTTTATCAACACGTTTCTAATATGATAGCTTTAATAACTAATTTCTAATAACTGAGTTATTTTATCATTGCCATGATGACAGTAAATAATATTTTACCAGATATTATTCAAGATACTAGTATTCAGCTTAAAGGGTCACGAAACACCAAAACACATTTGAGCTGTTGACAGTCTTATGTGTGTCCCATGCTGCTAAAAACACAATTAGTACACAAATATTTCACTAAAAAGTGAAAATTGGCTGTTTTTGCGTTATTTCGAGCAAATTCATACTTCCGGTTTGAAACGAATTTTTGAAGCTGCGTCACGGCCATGAGATCTTAGCGTGTATTCCAGCGTGTAGACTGGGCGTCTGTATCTGGGAGTGCCTTGTTACGTTCGAGTGTGCTGCATTAATGCATGAGTAAGGCTTGGTTCAAACCAATCAACGCGCCCTATTGTGCAACTTCATTAATATTCATTAATGTTACAGTGTTTAGACGGCAGAGAGACGCCACGTTGTGTTGGCAAAACAAGCGTGCAGTGTTACTTTTATAATTAGCTGCAGTGAAGGTTTTGTTTTCATTTTCTCTCTATGAGAGCGCAGCTGGAGTCACGTGTGGATTACAGTGCACGCGACGCTCAACAACAGTACGTGTCTAAGGAACATTGTTTACCGGAGAGCTTTTCTCATCTGCAAATGGTGAGATCCGGATTTGCTGCTCGTCTCCTCTTAATAAAGACGCGGCTCTTGTTGCTGGTGTCCTGTCTCTACAGATTTGGTAAGTGAGCGACCAGTGCTCTTTGTTTATTCAGTTTGTTCGTATCGAACTAACTATTACACCGAGTGTAAACATGTTAGTACCACAATCAAACTTACCGTCGTATAGGATTTTCGCCGCATTTTGTGACGGGAATAACACACACGGCTTTCTGGTGCTACCTGACGAGTGCATCTAAGTTTCCGGGAAATGCGGAGGTTTTTTTTCAATCATTCGCCGTGCGGTAACAAACATTACATGAAAAATACACGCTTAGAGCAGTTCCTCGAATCAAATATCTTGTTTGTATTGTTCCAAACAATTGACAAGATTTGTTTTAATTTGAATTATTGATCATTATTATATCCATTTTAAACAGTTTACAAGTCTTTTCATTCATCAATCTATTTTAAATTCATTTCAAGAGTTCACACGTAGCCGATGATTGATTCCAAAGCTTGTTTGGCATGTTGTCCCGGGAGAGAGCCCTGAGCTCATAAGATCCTCGAGCCTGGGGCTCCCTCCCGTTTGCAAGGCGAGAGGGGAGTTTGAGCTCAGGTAGATCTCGAGAACTCCCTGCTGCTGTTGTGGCTAATGAACAGATAGTGATTGTTCGTAAGAGATAACTACTTACTAGGAGCATGTCTATGGTGCAGATTTGGATTAGTCAATTAACTTAAGTTGCATGTTTTTGGATGGTGGAAGGTTTCCCAAGAGAAACCCACGTGAGCACAGGGAGAACGTGGAAACTCCACACAGAAACATCGGCTGGTTTGGTAAGGACTAGAACCAGTGATGTACTTGCTGTGAGGTAACAGTGGTAACCACTGGGCCACTGTGCCACCCATCTAGGAAAGGAGGAGGAGGAGGTGTTGAAGGGGGGATTCAACAAAACGAAAATGGCTGTTATATGGAACTTAGGGTTTTTTAGTGGCTTAGTAATCGTCTGATTGATGAATTATAAATTGGATAACGCGGGCCTCAAGCAATCATAAGCACATGATTCTCTCGAAATTAGTTTATAAATAAACTTCACTTTGTGATAAAACATTTTGATGCCAACTAAAGTAGCAGATTACTTTGATTACAGTAGAATACCGCAAATTCCTAATTTGCAGTGTTACCGAAAAAGTTTTCAAATGACCCTCAATGCAGTGCATATTACAGTATCGAACTGTAAAGAGTGTATATGGTATTAAACCAGGCTTTTTAGCAGTAAATAACTGTACAATTGCGGCAAAGTCTAACAGTGTAATTCAGTTCGAGATGTTTGCCAACAACACATGATTTAAATTAAAGCTTAAAACACAGAGACGTGTTCATCAGCGAATTTGGATGCCCTTAAAAGACATCACAACCACAAAATGCAGCAGTCAATAGACGCCTACTACTTTTTTCATCTCCGATTTCTCTGGAACAGGATCATGACCTACATTGGGAGATGCAGGCATGGCAATTTTGGGCCAAGCTTTAAAACGTATGTCTGCTGTAATCCAGACAAATGTAATGTGTTTATTTATATCCAATGAATTACAGGGGAGGTTTTTTTTTTTTTTTTTTTCAGAGCAGATTGACTGAAAATTGCTCAAACCACAGGCACCGGCTGAATCAGCCCTGCTTTACCGCTAAGACTTGCTATCTAGAGGCAGTGGATAAAGCCCTGAAGACACAACGTGAACTTTACAGAGTTAACTGCATTCAAAGAGAAAACAGAATTACTCTTTTTTTTTTTTTTTTTTTTTTTTCTGTGATCGGCCAAGAAACAAACCCCAAACAGGATCTAATGGATTTATGAGACTGTGGAAAGGCCTCGGGGAAACTTTTCATAAACACCCATAACCTTCTTAAAAATGACGAACAGATTTTTGACCATTTAACTCCAAGTCGAATGAAACACGTGATGTTTTGGCCGATGACAAGGGTGGTCTCAACCTCATGCTCCTGGACGCCTACAGTTTGTTTTCTCACCGTTTGATACTTATTGCACAAGACACTGGAAAACACTTGTGGAAATCAGGAAGTCCAATCAGACCTCTCCAATGCTATGCAACTTGTGCAGTTTTTTATCACAAAATTCTGAAAATTTTTGCCAAAATACTTTTTTAAAGTGAGATGAAACAACACAGCTTTTGAGTTCTTTTAAGGAAAACTTAATTGTTTTATGTTCAATCAACTTAAAATTGTAAAAACCACTAAGTTAACTTAATCAATTTGCTTTGAGGCGAGAGAAAGATATTGTGTAGGCATTTTTTTACAATGTGTTTAAATTTGCTAGATCAAATGAAGTGGACTTTATTTTTATTTAGTGATTTATACAATACAGACATTTTTAATGCATATTTAGAGTAATAAACTGGAAAATAGCAGAATCAGAAATGTTATTAAATCCCAGACCAATTGAAATGATGCAGTAAAGAAGCTCTACAGCTTAATAAACTCAAGTTGATTATGTTAATTCAGTTCAGTTCAATTACTGCAACAAAAAAGTGATGAAGAAGTTCAGTCCAATCACTACTAATCTGCCTGGTGTTAAGATGCAATTTGTGTCTGATACAAAACACATATCCATTTTACATCAGTTGTTTGAATATGTCTCTTTTACTCTGTTTACAGATAAAAAAAATATTAAATTCAGGACTTTTTATCGTCACTTAATATTAAATTTAAAACCAAATGTGATGGAAATAAACAGTATATAAATACATTTATTTATAATTTTTTTGTCTACTTATTTTTATTCATATTTATATTCATTCAATATCCCAGAATACATGTGTGTGTATCTGTAATTATTATTTGAAGTAGTAATTTTATTTATTTATTTTATGTAGAAAATTAGATAGGAGTCAAAGCGTCAACAATATTTTAAAAACACAAATAGTACATGACAATTCTAAGCAGGGACAAACTCAAAAATTTAAAATGAATTTTATGATGCTTTTTTATTCTGCTGTGTCATTCACTTTAGGTATTATATCAAAGCAATTTTGTCTAATCTTTAATGCCAGGGGGAAAAATAATAGGAGAAATTACCAATCAAATCAACATGTTTTACTATTTAATACTTTCATTAAGAAGCAAATCAATATAATATTAATAATATATTTTTATAATATCAATTATTTTCCCAGAGATGGATTTCGGCTGGAAGGGCATCCACTGCGTAAAAATGTGCTGGATGAGTTGGCGGTTCACTCCACTGTGGCGACCCCGGACTAATAAAGGGACAAAGCCGACAAGTAAATGAATGAATGAATGAAAATTAGATAGGAGTCGAAGCATCAACAACATTTAAAAATACAAATAGTATATTAAAATCCACTTAAAATGAATTTAGTGATGGAGTTTTATGCTGCTGTGGCGACCCCTGATAAAGCAAAAATAACCCAAAGGAAAGTTAATGAGGAAGAGTAAATATGGACGATTAAACAGCCAATAAAATTGTCATTCACTGAAAGTAATACAGCAAAACTGAAAAAAAGTTTTTAAATATTGGAATGTTTAGTAAAATTTGTAGTCATCTATTGTAGAGGCATTTACTCTAACCTCAAATGCCTGGATTTTTCCCCCCAATATTTCCTATGAATTTAAATTCATTATCTTTCTTTTTCTCGATGTTCAGTGACTGAAATGTTATATATCCAATTAATAAATCTAATTCATTCAAATGCGCCAAAATATATGACCCACATTCACTGAGAAATGGATAACAGTATTCATTTTCGAAGTGGGGTGTACTCAATTATGTCGAGCACTGTTTGTATTGAGTACTGCAGCCTTTATTTTCACTGCACCAGTAATCCACACAAGGCACAAGTGATTTTACCACATGTAACAAGTCTTCGAGCACTCATTTAAAACCATAGTTCACCCACAGAAAGGTACATTAA